CCTTGATTTTCTTTTTTCCAACAATATTCTCTTTTATCAACTGAACTTAGTACATTTCTTAGTATTTCGATAGATAACAATTGAATATAAACATTTTTCTAGTATTTCTACAAGTAACAACATCAATATAAAGCTTCTTTTCTAATTGACCTTCTTAATTACCGTGTCATAAATCCTGTTTTCTTTTTTTATTATAAATTTTTATTAATAATACAAAATTAAAAACACATTGGACATAGATATGACATCACTGGTTCCATACATCTTCTGACATTTTGCAGTAGTACTAGTACTCATATAAACATATAGTTCTTGAGCTTTGCTCACTATTTATAATATAATATTAACACTTTTTCCCTTATTTCTGTATATCTATTTATCTTTTAAATATACATTTGTCTATAATCTATATTTTATTCTAACACTATACATTAGTCTTGGCTACCCTCTTATTGTCTATCCAATCATAAAATTGTTCCCAGATTTTGTAGTAAATCCTGTTTTCAAAGTTCTTGTTTAGATTTGTTTTCCCCACAATGTTCAAAACATTTTTACCAGTTAAGATTTTCTCAGAGTTAATTACATTTAAGTATTTAAATCTTTTTCGTCATGAAGGCCATCCCAACAATTTTACATTTCTCATATCTTAAAACAAAAACAAAAAAAGAAAAGAAAAAAGAGAGGGAAATAGTATACTACTTGAAAAACATGTCCCTCCTAAGCTAAAATACATTTATATCCAATTTTTTTCTATTCTTTTTAACCATATTCAAACAAATGTTTAATCTTTAAATATTCCATCTAATAAATCCAATCATCTAATCTTTTAAATCTATTCAAAACATTCTTATCACTTGAAATTTTCTCAAAATCAATTACACTTAAGTATCTAAATCATTTCCCTCATATAAACCATCCCAACATTTTTATAATTCTCATATCATAAAAAATACTCTGTTACTTGAGGGGCCCATCCCTCTTAAATTAAAATTCATTTATATCCAGATTTTTTCTATTTCTTTATCCATATTCAAACAGGTGTTTAATCTTTAGATATTCCATTTGATAAATCCCATCATCTATTTTTTTAATTATAACTTTAGTCTTTTTTTTTTTTTTGCCAAACATCTTTCCTAACTAGTATGCTCCACTGGACCAGAAGGTCTTCCCATAATCTAGATGTTGTAGATATAAGAGACAAGTCAAGTAAGATGTTTTTGTAGGAATGTTTCGCCCCTTCCTATTAATTGAAAATCTTCTTCTTTCTTTCTCTCTTAATTTCTCTTATCATTTTTTGTCTCTCAAGTTCTCATAGTTCTCCTGATAACTCTATAATCCATTTTGTCGAATCTTTTTTCTTGTCCTCAGACATATTTTGAAATCTTGAAGTGTAGATTATCTTTTCCATATCCAGTATTTCCTGCAAGTTTTTCTCCATCTGGATTAAGTCAACCAATTGTTGGGTTCCATCTCTAAATCTCTTTCCTCTGGTTCATGTTCAGTTGTCTGCTTTATTTGATTGTTCTCTTTTTTATTTTCTGAGAGTTTTTTTTGTTGTGAGATTAAACTGAAGATATGTTCGTTTATATTTTCAAAGTTGTTTTTAATTTCCTCATGGTTTGAAGTCATTGTCATTTGTATTAGTTGCAACATAGCATACATTTCCTCCTGGAAAGTAATTGTTTTTTCTTGATATGTTCTTTCTGCAGATTTCTGATGTTCTATGAAAGCCAAAAATCAAAGTTTTCATTTCTCTGCAAACAGCTTTAAAGTCATAGTTCAATAAGTATTTATAATCCAGGAAGATCAGTTTTTTTTTAAAGTTTATAGTTCTCGCTTTGTAAATAGCCCAAAATATTTTCTTTTCTTTGTTGCAGCTGTTCTCTGTTTAGTTAAAACATTGAAAGTCACAAAAACAGTTCCTGTATCAGAGCAACTACAATTGTATATTTTCATCTACCACTAGATGTCAGCACCAGTTCATTTTTTAGTTTTCAGAACAAGCAATTACTTTCTTCTGTTTTCATCAATAATCTTTTAAAAAGAAAATCTTAACTAATTCCACCAATTTCAAACTTATCCAAATTTAAGTCTTATATTCATTTCATTTCAATGTATTTCTGCCCCCATAAAAGTTTAATTCGCCGCTTCCATCTGTGGGACAGTAGAGCAAAAGTCCCCCTCCTTCTCACTTTTGGAGGATTTTTGCTTCTTGGGTTTTTTCCCCCAGGAAATCAATTATCAAGTATAAGAGAGAATCAGTATTCTTACTTAAATTAGTGCTTTTTGGCTTTGGCTGCTTGTAGCTTGGGCTAGACTCTGGAGTGAAGCTAGCCTTTCTTCTGCTGGTTTCTGGAGAGCTTTTCCCGGATGACCAGATCAACTGCCATCTCTCCACAGTCGGCACCCCTCCTTCTTTGTCGCCTCTCTGGGGTGAATTTAGGCCCATTTAGGGTCCCCAAAGAGAGAAAAAATGGCCATGAGGTGTGGAGCCCCATGATCCTTTGGCTGCTGTGCTACTTTTGAAAACTGGAAGCTCCTGCTATTCCAGACTTCTAAGTGGCAAACATTTTATTTTCCCTTTTTTATTTAGTGCTAAAAAAAGCTGTTGTGTCTATATAATTTAAATGGATCTTTTATCAGATAAAGTAATTGGCCTTTTATGTCCTTGCAATATAGCATTATTCCTGGAAATATTTCAAGTTAATTTGAGATAAAAAAAATGGCCCAAATCCTTAAGTTAAATCTTGGATTTAAGTATTGCTATTTCCTTTGATAGCAACAGCACTTAGATTTATACACCACACCATAGTGCTTTACAGCACTCTCTGAGCAGTTTACAAATATCAGCATGTTGCCCCCAACAATCTGGGTTCTCATTTTACCAACTTGGGAAGGATGGAGGCTGAGTCAACCTTGAGCCTGTCTGGATCGACCTTCAGGCCACATTCTCACCACTGGGTCACCACAGTTCATAGTAAACAATAGTTTACTATTTTAACAATAGTAAAACCTTTGTTAAAATTCTGCAATACAACATCACTTCCTTGTAGCTAGCTAATGTAGAAGAAAAGTAAACTAACAGATTAACAAGGAACCTAGAGGGAGGTTAATTATTTGCACTGTAACATCTTGTCTCCCTCTGTTTCAGGTTAAACAAATTATCATGCTGCCTGGGGACACATGGAGATAGATTCAGAACATTGAAAGATCACAGGGCAGGGGGTGAGGAGCACTGGATTAATAGTTCTAGCCTTGGGAACTGGAGAGAGGCATCTCTTAGGTTTTCAAGAAATAGAAGTGAAGTGAGGCAGAAATGTTACACCCATACATCATTGTTCCACTTAATTCTTAGAAGCACTGAAGAACAGCAAAAATCTGCTGAGTTCTCTGAAAATGTAGAAAGCCTTACTATACTATTCTAGGAGAGAAAGTAATGGCTTTATTCCTATTTTTCACCAAAGTTCACAGATATGTCCAGTACATATAGAACCATAACCATTTTAATTCTGCAAATCCTCAGAAACAGTTTCCCTTAGTTATTCTCATTGCTACCAACCTGAATATGATAGAAAACAAAGCAAAAACTACCAAACATGCACTACTCTGCTTCCAATTGCACTAATTCCAGAGATTATCCCCCTCCTCCCAAAAAAGGAAGAAGGAAGGCCATCACTCCTATTTTACAGGGAAAAAAGGGAAAAGGTAACCACTAATATTACCAGCATCCCAGGTTCCCTTCTTCAGGTTCATGCATTTGTCTGTTTTATTAACATAAAAACAAACCTACAAGAAGAACCATGATGTGAGACAAAAGTTAAATCCTAGAGGACAAGTTCTCTCCATTTGGGAAATGGACTATTAACAAGCTTTGCAGAATGTAGTGATTAAAGCATTGCAGAAAAAAAGACTAACTATTGTATAAACAGCTGAAATCATCTCCTGCTTTCAGAATAATGCAGAATCCTCTTGTAGAGATGTTTTCAGTACTTTTTCTAGTTATTTGTCTTTTTGATTAATCTATTAGTATATATAGAACCAATGCATGATTTCACTTTTTTGTAAAAGAATAGCATTATTGCTACTTTGATAAGATTTCACTTTTATTAACTTTTGTAGTTCAGTCATATAGAGAGAATGAATGAAGATCAAATCGCAAAAAATATATATAATGTAAAGCAGTGGTTCTCAACCTTTTTAATGCCGTGACCCCCAACCGGTCGTAAGTTGAGGACTACTCAACTGGTGCAGCACTGTTTGCAGAATGAGACTTTTGATGGGCTCAGCAGGGCAGAGACAGCCTGGACAATTCCTATTGGCTTTTGAAAGCCAATAGAATTAGACTCTATTCAAGAGAGTCTAATTCTATTGGCTTTCAAAAGCCAATAGAATAAAAGGGAGTAGCACAGCTAAGGAAAAGGGGTAAAAAATGGCGGACTGCGTTGCTTGGCGACCCCCGTGAAATGGTCGTTCGACCCCAAATGGGGTCCCGACCCACAGGTTGAGAACCACTGATGTAAAGGGATTTAAATTCAGTGTTTAAATCAGTGTTGCCTTAAGCTGAGTTGGAATGTTTTCACAAGAAATATTCTTCTCTAGCAGTTGAATAAAACATTCTTTTGAACTGACTGCTCTGAAACTCCACCTATTGCTGTGGCTATTTTGTCACTAAATGAGAAAGGAAGGGAAGGGGGAAAAAAGGAAAATAACCAAGGAAAAAAGTGCACTGTATTCACTGTTTTGGACTGTGCCATATAAATTTATTTTGTGATATAAACCACTCTGTTATTTATGCAACCCAATGAATACCTTGATTCTTCCTTGTAGTGTATAGTTGTGAATGTGGTCAGAAAGTGTGAGGTCTTATAAATGCATCTTGTAGATTTAAATTAAAGTAATTTAATTACTTCAACCAATAAGATAATCTCTCAGTTCTTTCTGAACTGGGCCTAGAATCTTATTTTATTAATAATTAGTTTTCTTTCCTGCCTTTCATTCAGGTACTGAAGGGGCATATAATAGTACTCTATCTTCTTTTTTCACCACAAACCAACCTTGTGAAACTGATTGGGTTGAGAAGGAGGGACTGTGTCAGAATCATTGAGTTTCTACAGTGAAGGTAGACAAGAAGCTGACTGTTGCTGTTCCTACTCCAACACCATAATAGTGAGACTATCCAGTTACTATTTTCAGTTTTAAATATAATTGAAAAGGATGAAAAGCAGATCTGGGGCTTTTGCCTCTTTGGAACTCTCTGGGCGAGTAATTCTGCTGATCAAATGATTAATCTTTTCCTTTTATCACTCAATCTATATCATAAATAATTCCAAACACTTTAAAACATTGCTATAATTTGTATTTATAAGTCTTTCCAAACCATAAAGGGAGCTTTTGGCTTTGGCTTAATTTATGAGTAGAAACAGAAATACGGTTAACTTACCAAGATTTATTAATACAGGATGAAGGAGAAATTAAGACGTTAAAATCTATTGACTGAAGAAGGATTTAGTTTACAATAATTTTCATAAACACAGTTTAATATAGATGAAAGGACAATTGGAACTGAAAAAATATAAAATGGAATTTCAAGTGAAATTTCAAATATACAAATAATGAACATGTAACAGCAAAAATATATACAATTTTATTAATATTTGAAATAGAAAAATGGGTTAAAGATTGCATGACAAAAGGGACTGCTAATTTTGGATATAACAGAGATGGATATTTGGATAGCACTGGATTAACTGGTTCATAATTTAAGACACATTTTCTTAAAAAGGATATACCTTTGGCATTTGACAGCAGGCAAATTATAAAAAATATATAAAGTTATTTCAAACCAGTGACAGAAATGTGAGGTCACGAAGGAACATTTTATCATGCATGACCGGCTTGTGAGAAAGCTAAGAAATTCTGGGTAAAAATTCATGTAATGATGCAAAGGATTTTTAAGAATTTATTTGCTAAGAAAACAAAACCCTCCTTACTAGGACTTATAGATATTGAATAAGAGAATACTTTTGGTAAATTGATACCATAATTGGCAATTGCAGCAAATTTATTATACGGAAGAATAATGAAATTTTCGCTATAGAGGAATAGATTGTGAAAATGTCAAGAATTTACAGAAATGGAGAAACTGACCTGTTTGGTCAGAGGAACTTTTTTTTTTTTTTGAAGGACTAATAATCTTTTATGGTTTTGGTTGTTTTTTTTTCTGAAGGAAAAAAATGGATTTATGGATCTGAAGACCAAGAAATATGACGATTAAATAAAAAGTTGAAGGGACTTGTAAAATACTTAAGAGGGAGAAAAGAAGAGTGTAATTATCTGTTGAAAAGAAAATTGGAAAACATCTATCTGTTTTCTAACTGGTTTTTTCTTCTTCTTTTTTTTCCCTTTTCCTTTCAACATTGTTTCAGCATGGTTTACTGATATTACTCAGTGCTTTTTTTCCTTAAAAAAAAAAAAAAGGTGCCGGAACTCACACACGTCATACAACCTGCCTTGCCTACCCTACAAGGTTCCATCCAAAAAAGGTGCTGGAACTACATTCTGGGCATTCTATGACAAAAAAAAAAAAAGCCCTGATATTACTGCAGTTGATTAGAAACACACAGAAGGCACAGAACTCATGATTGGTAAACCATAATGATAGGATTGATAGAGCCAATTACAGTCACAAATAAACAGATCACATTTTGGTTTTCTAGTTCCATTGGGGAATTGAAACCAGGATTCAAAAACCTATCAAATTAATTATGTGAATTTATGGAAGCTTTACAATTCTTTTAAAGCAGCAGAATATCATTGCCCTCTGGCAGTGCAATAGCAAATTGCCTTGAACCTGAGGGGAATCTGAAAGATAAATTTTATTATGTTAATTAAATATGTAAACTATTGAATATAGTAAATATTCTTTATTTTTTCTACATTCTGATATGAAACTAAGAGATCAAAACAATATAGAACTATATGTACATATCACAAATAGAAAGGGATTACAAATAACCATGGCAATAGGCATGAATCCAAGCATACATTTGAGTAACTGGTTGGTGCATCACTTTTTTATTCTCTGACTAAAAATATAAAGTGTTATCTCCACTTAACCCATCACTGTGTTTAATTTCTAGAGTGGGGTTTTTCAGTAATATCAGAAATCATGTTTAAACAATGTTGAAAGGTTAAGAAAATGGGTCTTAACTATACCAAAGGCAAGATCAGTTAAACTCCATTGCTTTCAGTGGGAAGGTCTGGAACAAATACTGTTGGTGAAAATTACTTCTGCATAGTATTCCATCTTAAATATATGTGACAAGGTAGTAATCTTGAGTACATTTACTTAGGATGAAATTATATTGAAATCAGGTGCTCTTGCTTTTCAATAAATATAAATCAGGTCCTTTGATCAGTTGGGTATAAGAAAAAAAAACCAAAAGACAGTTAGAACTTCAGTCCTTATTGTATTTGAATACCATTAATACAGAAGACAAGATATAGAGCAGATAAAAATGTTTCATGGATTATGGTTACATTTTTTTTTAATTTCAGATGCTATGCAGAAGAAGTTAACTTTGAAGCAAGCAATAGCAAAGGCATGCAGTGGTATACATTTTATATTCACTCTTTATTTTTCTTCCCCCTGGAAATAAGAGATTGCTCAAATGACAGAAAGATGCCAAATAAAAAATATATCTGGCTAAGTAATCATACAATAACACATTTTCATGCTCTGCATTGTATTATTTAAAATATTGCACACAACACCATTCTGAGACTTTTTCAGATATAGAAATTATCAAGTATTTTTATCTTGTAGATCTCGTTCTACATCCCTTCTTGCCAATTTGTTAATATATAAAGTTAGTCATCATTAGAGAGAGAAATTCTGGCTAAAACAAATAATGAAATCCAACAAGCCTTGATGTAATTTTTCAGTCTTGGAATAGTTACCCAACCAGAAATATTCATTTTAACAACACTGATAACAAAATAGAATATAGTTATTTGCTTCATTAAGTTGTATCAATATTGACCATAGCTTGGCAGCTTCCTATATATAATGGTAATTGGTACTCAACTGCTTTGAAACTCATTTGGTACTCAACATATTTTGATGTGAAAATTTTGTCCAGGTCATTGTTTGTTTGGTATTCAACGAACAAGCTGGAACTTGTTGGGATTAGTTGCCTTATAATTCACTACATTATTTCTCATAGAAAAAATTTGATTGATATTGATATTCATCATTTTTGGTATTCATTGTGCCCCTCAGAACCAATTAAACTGTCAATGCTGCAAATACTGTATATTCTTGCTTTGACAATATGCAAAACTGTCTGGTATTTACTGGGTTAATACATAGCTTAGAGTGGGGGGAAAAAAGCCCGGGAAAGAAAGAGGAAGTAAACTTTTGACCTTCACACTAATTGGATAATGTGACTTGTGACTGCAAGATAAGGGAGGGGTTTAGCAAGAAAAGATTGATGCCAGCGAGAGGAAGTCAGATTCTGGCATCAATACGTCCATGATGGTGACCGGCAAAATTGTAGCTCTGTAATAAAGACTTTAGGAAACATGCCTGAAAGTTCTTTGAAGTGCTTCATTAGTCGGAACCTGTGACCTAAACATGAGTACCAAGGTATCACTATTAAATATTCCAAGTTCTTAATACTGTATGTACAGGTCCGTATACAAAAGAAATAGACATCCCCGATTTGTTACCTTTTAAATAAATTGGATTATAATTGGATTATAATTCCTATATAATTCCTGTTATAATTCCTATTATAGTGCTGTCCCACTAACACACACATACACACACACCACAGGTGTAAGGAGTCTTTATTAAGGCTTCTGAACCTGAATTGGTATTCCCCAGCAATTCCCTGTGCTGGCACCAGCTCAACACCAGTGAGTTCCATAGGTTACTCAAATGTAGCCAACACTAATCCTCAATGCAAAGCCAAGTCCAGTCCACCAGGTAAAGGAAGTTCCAAGGCAAAGGCAAGTTCCAAAACCAAGGCAAATCCACAGGCAAAGGCAAAGGCAAGGCAAGCAAAAGCAACAGCTGAAGAGACACGATCCAAAGTTCAAGGCAAGAACACATAGCAAGAAAACAAATACATTGTTCCCAGTATTGCCTCCCTCTGTCTGCTGTGCTAAATAGCCAGCTTCTGGTGCATCCCATCAAGAAGGACGAGGCTTTCTCCTCGCAAATAATCTGGATGACCTCAGCTGCTCCTGCCTTTTCTCTGCCCTATGTGTCTTGGATTAAGTGCAAAAGGCAGTTCTTCTTCCTCACTGACCAGCTGCAGCTGCCTGTTTTGCCTACCTGAAGCCTCAGGGCTGTCCTGCTGCAGCTGTGCCAAGTCCCTTTCAGACAGCTGCTTGGAGCCATTGACCAACTCCCATCCAGATGTGCCTAGAACTGGTTCACCCTCCTCTGAGCTGACATCTGGAGAGGTATCTGGGCAAGCATCCGGAGGAGTCATCACAAATGCCCGATGTACACACATCTCTGTTGGTCAAAAAATGATGGGTCTTGTAGTCTGATGTTATCTGTGAAGCCCCAGGCTGTGCAAGGCTATAGCCAAATTTTTCTTGATACAAACTTCTGCCACATTCAGAGAATGCTGTAAGGTTTGTGTTAAAATATATTCCACTGCAGTGTCTGAGGAATTTTTCAAGTAAATATTCTCTCTGCACACATAGAAAGTAGGCAGAACCATAATTTTACATTTTGTAGTGCAATTTTTCCACTTGCTCTAGGAGACTCAATATACTCAAAGTACAAGCAAGCCCTACATATTTTTGGACAAATTTCCCATAATGCTAGAGACCAAGAAATAGTGTAATCATAATAATATATAGAAATCAAAAGATTTCCTATTTTTGCTCTAAAATTTAAAATGCTATAATTTAAAAAACAGAACTTTTAAAAATTCAGAGTCTACTGCAGGGGTGTCAAACTGCTGGCCTGCAGGCCAGTTGCATCATGTGAGGGTCACGTCCATCCCAACTCCAGCAATGCCAAAAAAGTTGTGATACGTTGCGACATGTCACGTGATGCAGCGAGTTTGACACCCGTGGTCTACTGCTTCTTAATTCTCCCAATGAATGGTGTCATGTCAGAAGAAACAATGAAGTTGAAGTGGAGTATTTAAAAAATGTCTTTGCTAAAATAAGAAATTCAGGAATAATGATTAATAAATAAAAATTAGATTGATAAAAATAAATTGCTGCAATAAGTAATAGTAATAACAACAATAACAATAATGCCTTGTGTTGATTGTTCTTTTAGTCATAGAGAGTCACAAAGCTATCAGGTGAGAAAACAAATGTATAAACGAAGAGTATCAAGAAGAAGGGGAAGATTGAGAAAAATATGGTTGGAGAAAAAGGGAAGTGGACACTCAAAGAACAAAAGCAACGTATGAATCAGTATATGGATATGATGGAAACTACATTGTTTGCAAGGTCAAAGGTAGAGAGGGTATAGTGAATTGTGTTGGTTTAAATTAGATGAGCTTCGATTTCTTTTTCTCTTCTCTCCTGCTTTAAATTTATTTTGCTCTCTGCTTCTCATTCTTTTCCTTCCCTTTTCATAATATGACTTACCCTGAAAAGAAATGATATAATGAGTAGGAATGTATATGTATCCATGCATGCATGCATATTTACAGAGGGCTACTTGATTCCCCATGTCCATATTAGAAATAGAATCAAGTTTACTTATGTGAGCAGCCCACTGTGCATTTTTTCTTTACATCTTCCCCAATAAAGGTGCTATTAAGTTCTCTTTATGATCAAAAATTAAGGGAAAAGGATTGGATTTTTTTGTGTGTGGGGGGGACAATTATGGTAGATATAGCCATAAAGATTTCACAATAAAAATGTAAGAATACTGTATTATAAATAACAAATACAGCTGATGATAGCTGAACACATCTTAAGAAATTATTATGAAGAAAACTTGAAATGTTTTTAGTAAGGTTCTGACAGATTGGACCTCGAGAAACATTTTGTGCTCTGTGAGATGCTGGCAACCCTACAGTTACAGCCTTGAGCAGTTTTTCAGTTTCATGTGAATGAGACAGGTTCTGCTCACTCGTATCTAGATTCCTATATCGCTGCAGTTAGACAATCAGAAGCTCTAAGTAACTGAATTATTTTTCAAGCAGAAAATCTGCCAGCTGCAGATACATTTATAACAAGATAAATCATGAAATCTGAACTCTCATTATCACTAAGTTGCAATTGTTACTGACTTATGATTATAAATGTGAATACCACTTCTATTCATATTTTGAATATTCACTTCTATTCTATTCATATTTTGGAAGAAGTAGAATACCATCTTCTACTTCTTTCAAAATATGGATAAAACAACTTATTAGACACACACACACACACACACACACACATTATCCTGTAGTGAATGGGCAGGCTAATTTCTTCTTCTTCTTCTTCCTCCTCCTCCTCCTCCTCCTCCTCCTCCTCCTCCTCCTCCTCCTCCTCCTCCACAATTAGAGGTATCTGAGTTTCAATCCATCTCAGTATGAGCTACATGCCATGATCCCATACAAAGTCAGGCGTGCAAAGAAAACCCTATATTTCTGCTAGAGATAAAATGGGCTGTATTTTTAAAATGAGGTTGAAGTTTGGAAGCAAGACTGAAAAGAAAAATGAGGTACCTTTCACACAGAGACACAAGCAGTTTGAAATATAACAAATCCTCTGGGACCTGGGGGTAGTAAAAGAAGAACTGAGACAGATGGAAATCTCCTTCAGGAAATATAGCTATCTCTGAAAGAATAAGTAAAAACTGTAAAACTCTAGGCAGCCCAGAATCACTTGGTTGAAATAGGAAGCCATAGAAATTAAATAAATGAGTTTAGCTATGAATATTGCATACAATTTTATGGGACTCTGTATTGAGTCTAATTTAGTCTCTCTTGATTATTCTCTATGTAAGCTCAGTTCTTGGGAGTTTTATGCAAATTGTCACATCTTTAGGTCAGACTGCTTTGGTATTAGCAGCAGAAATACCATCTAACTTATTCTGTATATGATTCTATTCAGTGGTGGGATTCAAATATGTGAACAACCAGTTCTCTGTGTGGATGCTGCTTCTGGAAGTCCATTCTGGGCCTGGGCAACAAAAAAATTAGCTACCAGTTCTGCCAAAGTGGTGCGAACTGGCTGAATCCCATCACTGATTCTATTGGAGAAGTCAGTTTAAACAGTTCTATATGTGTTTTATATGCAATTACTTATAGCTAAAAAGTATTTTTTTAACTTTCTCTCTTTTACTATATTTCAAAATAAAGTTTCTGATTCTAAATCAATGTATTCTCATAAATGAAGAGAAGGTGGAGGATGATTTACTAATCACTATAGAGCCAGATGACACAATATAATTTATTTCCTTTTTTTATTTTCCCTTTTAACTTGCTAGGAATTTGCACAGGCTATAGAAGCCTGACCTTTTTGCACATGCTGGGGATTTTCACTAGACAGCCTAACAGTCCTAAGAAAAGATGCAGATGCTTTATAGTGTAGACAAGTGCCTCATTCCTGCTCCTGCAGGCTTCAAAATACATTTTTCAAATTGGTTACAAAGGCTGCACAGGCCACACACTTATGGCATAATCACAGATACAGACACAACTGCAACTGGATCTCCTTTTTTTAAAGTGTAATAACTATCATAATCTAAAGAAAGAAACTCAGTGGGCCTATGATATTAAGGGAAATAGGAGACTTTTTCGCCACTTAAAAAACATAGCGATGACTATTTTTACAAAGATAAAGCATATAGGTTGTTCTGATCCATAATTCTATTTACAGATACAACTATCAATGAGTTATAAGTATTTAGAAAGATTATGAGTTACCTTAATTTCTGACAACTTGCAAAACAGGGCTATTTAGTTCACTGAGAAGTGATTCTTCACAAGTGTCTAAAAAGTAGCTTTAAAATGCGTTAGCCAAAGCTGTTTCTACAATTGGTTTTATATTTTATTTAATTCCATAGATGCTTTATTTTTCAATTATTTATACCTATAAGAAATGCATATCCATCTCTTTGTGTCAAGTGCAAGAAAGCAGGAAATCCAGGCAGTTCAAATGAATATAAAAGTTTATTGCAAGCTTAAGTTCTCTACAAGAATCTGAACTACTAACGGTCAAAGCAAATTGGTGGTATATAAGAGTTAATGGAATTCAAGGTGGGCTGGAGTTAGATCTCTTCTGGGTGCGAAGGGACTTGAGACTGGTGACACATTTGACACCTCCCTTGGGCTCAGCCTGGTCATCTCCTATAGTCTAATTTTAATGTTTTCGATATGTTGCTCCTAGAATATATGATTAAACTGACCTAGTTCAGTATGAAAATAAAATTTAAATAGGTTTTATTGAATACTGTACAGCTTTTTCTCTTGGATTTTGTAAAATTCTATATAAAAACTGCAAGGACCTCTCTAAGCAGTCTCCAATAACTGGACACAATTGAATGGGGAAAAATATTAATAGCATATATTGTGCTCTCATGTGTGTGTGTGTGTGTGTGTGTGTGTGTATTTCCAGTAAAATGAATACTCTTTTAAATAATGTACTAAATTGATAGAGAAATATATCAAACACAAATAGAAAAAAAAAGAAATTTCATGATGAAAATTTCAGGCAGCGAAAGTGTCAATATAATTCACATTAGAAAGAACTCTTCGTTTAAAAATAGCAAACAGGCAACAAAAAATCAAAACAACAGCAACAGTACGAACATGAAAGTGACATTTCAGAGTAGGTGGAAGAAAAATAAATCTCTTTAAAATCTGGTGTTTTGTTCATGAAACCATATCAGTCATGACAGCAGCTATATTTTTTTCATTAGCATGGTCATTACATTTTTTAAAAGTGATAGGACTGGCTTGCTTCAAAGAAGTCTTTGAGATATCTGTATGCATTGTAGACATAGCTATTGTTTCATAGTCATCAACTCTGGTGTGGAAATCACAGAAACGAAAGAAAATCTGTAGATCCCGTTGAAAGTTCTTGTTGAGGAATCCATAGAAGATGGGATTCACACAGGTTGAGATCATAGCTGTAAGGTGACAGATTAAAAACAGCAAATTATGGCTGCAGGCTGCAGGGAGAATTTCATGATTCCAGTCAAAGACTGTATTGAAGATGGTGAGTGGCAGCCAGCACAGGGCAAATGCCATCACAATTGAGATCAGCATAATATTGATCCTTTTTGTTTCAGTGGATCGGTATTTATTATCCCTCATCTTGTCCACCATGTTGCATCTTCTTTTTAAGCGAATATAGATCTGTGAGAAATAAGAATTCAGTAACAATAATGTAAGCCATATACTAGAGGTACCATTTTTTATAAGAACAAAGATCAATTTAAGCCATATCCTAGAAGTGCCATTTTGATAAAAAAACAAAGAATATGCAAGATAGGTGACAAAATAAACTCTTCCTTACCTTTAAGTAGCAAATGAATATAAAACAAAGAGGCCCGAAATATTGTATCACCAAGAGAATAGTAGTGTATGACAGTCTGGCTGACTCCCATGGAAATGAATCCAAGCATACATATTTTCCCTTGTAGTCCTCTATGGTTATATTAGTGAAAGGTTCATCAGTTAAAACATGGTATACTAGGAAAGGCAAAGATGAGGCTATTGCTAGGATCCAGATGGTGGCAATTCCAACATAGGCATGTCTGTTATTAGGCCTCCAGCCCCGAGGATTGATAATTAACTGATGGCGTTCAATAGCTATGAGGACCAAGGAAAAAACAGAGACTGTGACAGAGACACACTGCACAAAAGGATTAAGTTTGCACATGGTTTCCCCAAAAACCCAGTGGTCCATTAGAGTATATACAAATGTGAAAGGAAGACACATGATAGTTATTAGGAGGTCTGAAAAGGACAGATTGACAATGAGAATGTTGGTCACATTGTGCATTTCCTTTTGCTTCAAGATTATAATAATTAAGGCCAGATTTCCAGAAATACCAAGAAGGATAACAATTCCATAAGCCAAGGCCAAGGTGAATACCATTGCCAAAGGCACGTGACAGTCAATGTCCTGGAAATGCAAGAGTCCAGAAGTCTCATTGGAGACATTCTGAATAGAATTATTTCCCGTGAAGGAGAGAAGTGATGCATTCATATTGGGTTCTTTTCTAGCTGAGATCACACTGAGCAACAGACTAAAACTTCAATAGCTTCTCTCAAGAAGTCGATGTTTTTCTTCTCATTACACAAACCACAGGTGGCCAACAAAAGATGCAAGAGAAATGTTCATGCCATTGATAATCTTGAAGGATCTGCAAAAAAGTGGAATGTTCACATATTAATTTTTTAAGGTTATACTAAAATAAAATTCTATAGGCATTTGCTCAGAAGACTGCCCTTAGAGTATTTTGCTGATATCAATATGTCATTTTCAATAATGAAAGTGTAATAACAGCAAGAATAGCTGAATTAACATCATGAAAGAACTACAGGATTAATGTATTAATTTTCATAACCTAAATTTGTCCAATTCCCACTCTGTTCTCCCTAAAGCATCTAGATAAGACTCTTTTTGTTATTACTGCATTTAATTATAATTCATATGCCTAAAGTCAGAAAGTGTTATCACACTAACATTCAATAACAGCAAATCCTCTTCAGGAGTGGAAATCAACCTAGAAATAAGGAGAAATCTTCTCACAGCGAGAACAATCAACCAATGGAACAGCTTGCCTTCAGAAGTTGTGGGTGCTTCATCACTGGAAGCTTCCAAGAAGAGACAGACAGCCACTTGTCAGAAATGCTATAGTGTCTCCTGCTTTGAGCAGGGGGTTGGACTAGATCAGGGCTTTTCAACCTTTTCACCCATTGTACCACTTTTAGGACATGGTAACATCCGAGTACCACCAGTCGCCTAGCAAGGTGTCAAAAACTTGATGACCCCCCCCCCAAAATGAAAAAGTGATAAAGTACAGGTAGTCCTTGACTACAACAGTTTGCTTAGTGACTCTTAGAAGTTACAATGGCACTGAAAAAAGTGCCCCCAAGCCACAGCCGAGGAAGACACCTGCCTACCCACTCGATGGCGTTCTTCCTCCTGTCCGAGGTTTTCATTGTTGTGAGCATTTCTGTGGAGGATTGGCAGCGGAGGTGGGGTGGGGGTGTTTGGTTTTATTATCCCTGTCTGCTGAGTGGTTGTAGCAGGTTTTGATCACTTCACATGACCCTGGGACACTGTGACCGTGATAAATATGAATCAGTTGGCAAGCATCTGAATATAAATCACAAGACCCTGGAGATGCTGCAACATTCCAGCTGACTTCCGCTTCTTCTGGACTCAGCAGAAACACCAGGATTAGTGCTGCTTTCCAGCTGATTGGTGCTTCTTCAGGGCTTAGCAGAAGCACCAGGATCAGCGCCAAGCTCCAGCTGGAGCCTGGCCCTGATCCTGGTGCTTCCACTGAGCCCTGACAGTCCTGCAGCTCCAGCCGTCTCTCGCTTAGGCTTGTGCAGTGCTGCCAACGGTTCAGCTCATTCCCCTCCCTCACTACCACTTTTCTAGGATGGTCACGTACCACCTCCAGGTGCCAATGTACCACAGGTTGAAAAGCCCTGGTTGAAAAGCCCTGGACTAGATGACCTACAAGGTCCCGTCCAACTCTGTTATTCTGTATAATTCTGTAAGTCTCCTACAATTTTCAAATAATAGTCTAGCTGGCTCTTCAAAGATTAATCCACTTCTATAAATGTTTATTAGTAACAAGTTCAAATGCAGTTGTTTTGTGTTGCAAAGATTGGGTGGGATGGTTAAAATTAACTGTTGGATATTACTTACCACAGAAGTTGCTTTTTATTCTTTGTGCTTTATTCATTACTCTTTATTGTCCTCATGGACAAATACAGATAGTGCTCGACCTATGACCAAAATTGAGCCCAAAATTTATGTTGTTAAGCAAGACAGGTGTTAAGTGAATTTTGTCCCATGGTAGGACCTTTCTTACCATAGTTGTTAAGTGAATCAGTGCAGTCGTTAAGTTAGTAACACTGGTGTTAAGTGAATTTGGCTCTCCCATTGACTTTCCTTGAATGAAGGTCGGAAAAGGTGATCACATGGCCCCAGGATGCTGCAACCGTCATAAGTATGAATCAGTTGCCAAGCATCCGAATACTGAATCCATGATTATGGGGATGCCACAAGGGTCGTAAGTGTGAAAAATGATCATGTCACTTTTTCCAGTGCTGTTGTAACTACAAATGGTCACTAAATGAACTGTTGTAAGTTGATGCCTACTTGTATGTCTAGTAAGCAACTTCCCCCATTCTTTTTTTAATAATATTTTATTAGCTTTCTAATTTTATAATTAAACATTTAAAAAGCAACGTGGTGATTGGGTTGATCAATAATTCAATAACATACATAAATCTTTAGTACAAATCTCAAGTTACAACATCAGATATTCCCTCCCTTTTTCCCTTAATATCTACTACCTCATATTAGACTAATATAGTTCTTATTATTATCAACTAAGTAAAAACATCTTTGTTACATTTATCAATAATTTTTAGCAGTTGTATTAACTAGGTTTTTCAGAGGCAGTTTGCCATTGCCTGCTTCCTAAAGTTAAGAGAGAAAGAGAGTGGCCCAAGGTCACTGAGCTGACTTCCTGACTAAGGCGCAACCAGAAGCTTGCTTAGTAAGAATTTGTCTCCTTTTTCTCCACCCCTGCAACCTGAAATTCTGCACAGTGACACAAAGTCAGCACATATGAAACCTAGACTCTATGGGTTCCAGGATCACCACTGGTAACATATTTCACATAGCTAATTTTTATGCAAAATCTTCATGTTGATTAGTTCTCTTATTTCTGGCAAATCTTTTTGCTGTGTTTTGTTGTACAAAACACATCAAAATTAGTCATCTTGCAAGTAAAAATGGATCAGATTATTCTCATTCCCAAGATTATTAACCCAATACTATGCAAAACAAGAGCTTGAGTTTATAAATTATAATATTCAGTGTACCGTAAATGCCGGCGTATAAGGCGACTTCCGCGAGCGCTGAAATCGGCGCCAAAGACAGGGGTCGTCTTATACGCCGAGTCGTCTTATACGCCGGAAATACTGGTAGTTTCCGGTGTATAAGATGACGTTCTAGGAGTGCGGCCCGGCTATAAAGACGAGGGCCGTCTTATACGCCGGGTCGCCTTGTACGCCGGCATTTACGGTAAATTGTTTCTCTGTTAATGTAGCACACCTTCCATTAGGGCAAAACTTTATTTAGCAGGCCAGAAAAATACCTGGGATATTAAACCAAGGCACTTCTCATTAGCACAGTCTTTTTAGATTATTAGCATGTCAAACTGTCAACAATAATCAAGGGATAATATCCGATACTTTTAGTGTTTATAGCTGCTGTGTAAAGCAGATTGAGTGCATATTTATAGTGCATCTTTGATTTCTATGTCACGTTCCTGGAATATATTATAATATCTTAATTTCTTCAGTGTTGTGATTATAAAAGGGAGTAGTTTAATTTGTGATGTAATTTATAATCATAAATCTTTTTTAAATAATATTTTATTAGTTTTCTAATTTTAGAATTAAGTATTTAAAAAGCAACGTGGTGACTGGCGTTAATCAATAGTTCAATAACATACATAAATCTTTAGTATAAATCTCAAGTTACAACATCAGATATTTCCTCTCTTTTTCTCTCTTAATATCTACTATCTCATATTGGCTAATACAGTTCTTATTGTTATCAACTAAGTAAAACCATCTTTGTTACATTTATCAATAATTTTTAGCGTATACATATCTTAATTGTTTTTGCAGTCAATCCTTATATACAATCAATGTCCTGTTATTACTTTTTTTTCCAAGCTTTAATTTCCCATCAATATTCAAATTAACATTTGATATTTATAATTTCTAAGCTTTAGGTAATCAAAGTTTCCCTTATCTCAACTTCTTCATTTTTCCCTTTTCATAACAAAATCTAATATTCTAAATACACATCTTATCTATCTGAATATAGTCTTATTCTGTTTTCTAAAAATTATCTATTTTCCACCATATTAAACCAAAAATCTATTAGTCTTGTTACACACGTTACCTATTCAATTATGTTACTTTATTTTCTAAAAATTATCTATTTTCCACCATATTCAACCCCTCTAATCAGTAATATGAAATCCCCTCTAATAAATCAAAACCCTAGTTTCCTTCAGCCTTACTCTGGCTTTCTTCCTTTGCCAACTGATCTTCCATGTCAATACTTTTGAATCATCAAACAGTTCTCCCTCTATTATTATATGTATTATTTGAAATAAGAAAGACCATTCGATTACAGTTTTTTGGGAACAATTAGCCCATTTGTATTCATTAGATCGCTTCCATATAACTCCAATTTCCCACAATTGTCCTGATAGGTTTATCTTCCATTCAATCTGTTCTTCCTTTTCCTCAAATTTCTTCTGATTTATGTAAAAAGTCTTTTCCATTTGTGACCACATGTACCTTCTCCACATCCATGGGCAGGGTTCTCCCACATATTTGCATGTAGGTGAACATCTGCGTCAGGAAATACCCCAGCCTTTTGGAGTCTCCATTGAACTTTGCCCTGATTGGAATCGGCTTCACTTCTGCTGGCTGGGGAGGGTCTGACCCTGGTGGCTTGTAGTAGGCGCCTCAGGGTTGTGCTGCACCTTGGGCTCTGGCAGCTGCTGCCTCTCGAGTCTCCGACTCCCTTTTCAGATTCCTCCTCTGACTCTTCTTCGGATTCGTGGCCCCCTTTCATTTGCATTTTAAAGTCATCAAGAGTTTTCTTCACATACTCCATTATAGCTTCCATAGATCCCAGTTTCGGTTCTTCTTTCTCTGAGTCTTTGTCCGGGGGAGCAGGCTCTGGATTCTTCTTCTTGGCTTTTTTCTTACCTCCCCCCCCCCCGGGTTAAGGTGACTTTTGGGGCTTTCTCCTCCCAGCCTTCCTTTTTTCCAACTCCGAGTGACCATCTGGCTTGATCTTCTTCACCAGATGGTCCAGCCGCTTCCAGATCTCTAGAGAGGCTTTCGCTGGCTTCAAGGCTGAGGAGGTCTTTAGCCCATTGTGCTGCCTGGAACTCCTCAATCAAAATTTGGTCGCGACTCCCCCAGTAGAGTAGTTTACTTCTCCGGGTTGAGTACTGTGCAGATCTCACCTTCTGTCAGGACCCACTTCAACTAATCACCCAAGAAAGCAGAACTCTTGAAACAGGCATTGTCTCAAAAGGAATTTTATTAGGGACTAGTGACAGTAAGGAGTGTAAGGCGA